CTATCAGGGACCACAAACCTTTCATGGCAAAGCATATGCAGTGATTTCCAATTCCAAAGCTTGTTGCAAAATGGTACTATGTCCCCAGGGAATTCAGGGGCATAGTCTATTCCTCAAATCAGTGATAAGCTCCCCTACTACCTCCAACATTGTGGAATAGTGCTCGGCGTGCCCCTGAGGCCCTTACCCATATCCTCATTGGTTCACTCAGAGTGATGGAGACAGAGGGCAGGTAGATCACAGCTTATGGGTTGTTCTTAGCAGCAGGTTGCAATCGAAGCCACGGACTTTGGTATATAGCTATGGCCACAGTTGGAACATCTTTTCTGGCCAGGCATACATTGGCTATTGGGAAGGTCGCGAACTGTAAAGAAATCTGCCTGTGCTGGTGCTTGCATGCTCCTGCAAACGTTGATGAATTCATCTCCAAAGTTTCCCCCTAAAGTAGGGAAGAATTATCCACATTTTGCAGGTGAGGAACTGCAGCACAGAGCAGCTCTTAAGCAATTTGTCCCTGGTCATCCTGGAAATTTGTAGCAGAGTAAGTGACAGAACCTGGATCCCCCTGAGTCCTGGGGCAGTGTCTTATCTGTAGAACTATACTTTTTCACTTGGTTCAGAGTAAGATATCACTGCTTATAGTGAATGAATCATAGTGCAGACTAGGGAGCTGTTACTCTCTTCGTTATCCAGCAGTGGAGTATTTGAATTGGGCAAGGAAGATGACATCTTAATTCTTTGTCAGGATTTCAGCTAATGTACATACTCTGTAATGGTCTCTGCCTTACTTTTAAAGACCTGAAGTTTAAGTGAAAAAAGAGAGGAATACCAAATTGGGAGTTAGGCTGGATCCATTCCAACCTTATGATTCTTCCTGTGAGATTTATGTCATTTTCAACTGTTTGGAGGTGTTTTTACCTCTGCTTCTAGCCAAGCCAAAGCTGTTCACATCCGAGTGCTGTGTCATTTTGAGGATTCAATAATTTTATTATTGATTAATGTTAGCAACTTCCCTAAGGTTGCACAGGAAGTTTGTGGTAGAATTGAAATTCAGTGCAGATCTCCCAATTCCTGGTACAGTGCTATAACCACAAGACCATCCTCTAATAGTGTTGTATAACCATTTCTAAAATGACTTTTTGTATTAACTGTAGTTGCTGAATAAGATGATTATACAAGATGCCAGACAAATGCAGGGCAATAAGCATGGGTCTTCCATTTTTTTGAACATGGTGGAAATTCTAACCACAGAGTACACAGTCACTAGTCTCTGTCCTCTTTCAGTTTTGTAGAATATAATGACTGCATTTTTCAAAGCCTGTAATTAATAATGCAGGATTATTTAAATGAGCTGGTTTGTTACTACCCAAAGTTGACCTCACATTTCTGTTGTTGACCTTTTTGGTTTCCTTACTGGCTTGAATATACTATCAATTCCAGTAACTCTGTGGACAGTTTTTTTCCAGACACTACCATGCTGGGAAGGCTGAAATAAATAGGAATCAATAAAAAGTATATATCAGAACTTCGGGTACACGATGATATTTTCAGGTTCATGAGGTTGGAAGAAGCCACAAAAACTTAACACATCTGTATAGATGAAATAAAGAAGTTTATTAATCAAAATAACCCTTTGATTCAGTGTAGATTCAATGTACTCAAACATTTAGATTAATTTGAGACCACTTTATCAGGCACAAGGAGACTAGTCCTTGAGACTTCTGCAATACTTGGTTTCCTCTATAGAAAAATGGGATTTTGACTCTTGTGAACTGTAGTGTTTACTGTAATCCTGTAAACACACGTTGTTCTAGTAGCATTTCACCACAGTCTCCAATGAGCCTGTCTCCCATCATCTCCTGAACAGGCAGAATTTTAACAAACAAGATTCTTGGCAATGTACTTGACAAATACAAAAAAATAGTCCATATCCCAAAGAGCTTATTAGCGATCCTTCTCAACCATCCAGTCTGCCAGTGTGCAACACATGCACAAATGAAAATGGCAAGTGACCAAAATGGAACATTTCAGTTTTTCTGTCTGTCATAATTAGGAAATGCCAATATGGGTAAACTATAAAACTAGTCTAGTCTAGTGACATAGGGTATACATGGAGGACTACTGTGTTTCAAGCTGAAAGATGTAGATGGGACTTGAGTCTGCAGTGTTAGAAACCTTAATGCTATTATTATGTCTGCCTAAAATGACCTTTTAAACCTGCTGTTGTCATTCAAGGAAAGTGGAGCAAATATTTGATTGCCTTCTAAGGTAATAGAGTTGGACCATGCCCTATAACAGCATTTGTGAAAGGCACAAAAATATAAAGACCAGTCATTGAAAGATGAGGTCAAAACTTCTGGTTTTCTGGCTCATCCAAATGACCCTTCTCTAGACAACTGAAATATGGAATTTTATACTTGTGAACATGTACTGTCTAAAATAAAAAATTAGTAGAATGGGACCATTACTTTTTTTGTGTAAGCTTACTACTAGTGATGAATTGCAGAAAGGAACAAGCTCACTAGGTGGAGTAGACAGAACTATTGCAGAGCTTTGAAATCAAGAATGTGAAGATTAAATGCTGATGTAGTGGGTGACAGTGTAGGCATTCAGAAATCGGTTCATCTGTCAGGCATTGTAGGCTAGGCATTGGCATTGTAGCCCAGGCATTGAGCTGGGAGGTGAATGACGGATGATCAGGACATAAATAAGCACTGGGGTTGCATTTAGGTTGGGACAGGTTTTGGATTGTCAGTAGGCTATTACTTGCGTAGAATTTAGTTTTTGGTTTCTTTGGGATGGTTTGGAGAGGGCTGATCCGGCCTCAGGCAGGGGCTTGGGCTAGATGTGACCTCTGGAGGTCCTTTCCAGCCCCACTTCTCTATGACTCTAAAGCAGCAGCAAAGTTTGGACGTGACACTTCTCCCCTTTTTCCCCGCATTTCTAGGTTTCCAAGTTAAAGGTGTCCCATTGACTGTGAACTCAGAAGTCCCAGATGATTTCTCTTTATTTGACATGGTTTTTGCCTAATTTGCTAATTTTAATTTTTTTTTATGGTAAAAACTTTATGCAACTTGCATTCTGTTACAAAAAAGGTGTCCTATTCTCTCCCCCCCTGCATTTTAGAACTAAATCCCAGTATTGATTAGCCTTTGTTTAATACAAGTACAGAAAAAATATGCAGCTGATATTCATGAGCCACATTAAACTAAATATGTTCAAGGAACAGAATTTCAGTAAAACGCAACAGTTCTTTATGAAGTCTATCTGCCAGACAGGTCTTATAAAAGTTATTTTTATGCATTGGTATAATTCTCTTTTTGTTTTCATTGAAATCTATACTTTTTCCAGATAACCCTCCTATATATTTTTTTTTCTTTTTGAAGGGTAGTAGCAGCTCTGACTCTCTGGAGGGACGGAGCTCGGACTATGCCAATAAAAGCTATGATGCGGTTGTATTTGACGTATTGAAAGTAACTCCTGAGGAGTTTGCTGTAAGTAAAAATGTTATTTCTGAATTTATTCTTGTGGAATATTTGAGACTAGCAGGGTATAAAAATAGCATAAAACATTTATTTTTTCTGTCTTAGAGTAAAACCTTTTAAGCAAGTCAAATTTCAGCACTCTGAGGCAAGTTTCTGACCATATACATTTTGAGCCAAAAGCTTCAACATTGAAGTATTCATCACTGAGCTGATTCAGCATTTGGGGATTTTGAGGTTTAAGAGAAACTACGAAGTTGTTTGGATTTCCTCCAAAATTTTAAACTGGTTTTTAAGATGCTGATGAATGTCCACAGTCTTTTAGGATATGACACTCGGTGAGGCAGACACAGCCCTCCTGACTAGCCTTTTCTTACCTGAACATCTACCAGCACTATTTTTCACTTTCCTACAGAAGCAGGTATTTCTCAAAAACAAGGGATGAAGACTTGCTAGGCAAAGGGCATCAAGTCATATACCCTCACTGTCAGTTCTTGGTACCAGACTGAAAGCAAAAGTTCTGTGCTAGTAAGGGCCCAATATGGCTCTTGTATTGTTTGGCTGCTTGCTTCAGATTTAAACTGCATATTTAATAATGTCTGCCAGAAAACATGAAGGTGAAGGAGCGAGGGGTAGTGAAATGGACTCCAAATTTGCATAATTGTTCCAAGCCCCCTGCACAGTGTGGCAGGACAGCATTAATTAATTTCACCATTTTTTCCATGCTAGCAAAACTCTATCTGTTTTGGTAATTTCAGTAGAAGAATATTCTGATGGTCACAAGTCTTCTAACCCAGATGTCTTAAAAAATATTACAAGGTTTCTTCCCTCTGCCTTACCACCAAATGAGATGTCATCCACAACTATGAATAAAAGTTCAACAACTAAAGTGGAAAGGGCCTCTGTGGGATTTGCAAAGATGCCTAAAGCAAATCCCATTTATTAAATGCACTTTTTTTTTAAAGCATGGGGCAGGAAAACTTTTAAAACTAAAAACAAACACAAAACCTCTTAGCGTGAAGCATTCTCTGATGCCCTCTTATGCTCTGCTCATACCGCTTTACTCGAATACCATGATCTACAGGACTGGTGGCAACTGAAATATCTCTGCTGGTTCTGATCCCAGCAGAGAACTAGATAATTATATCTTTACTATAATTAATAATAGCCAGTAAGTTACAGATGACTTTTTCACTACATTGACTCCAAGCATGTACTATTCCCTTTGTTAAGTATTTCAAGTAACTTGAATTAATAATTCAACTGAGAAAGCTATCAAAGCAAGCCCAGAGGGTCTGGTCTGATTGTTGGCAGTACTGTGTGAAATAAACCCATGGCATTGTAAGTCAACGGAGGCTAGAATTGCTGTGTTACAGTTAGATTCCCAGGGAAATGGAGTGCAACCAAGTAAAGGTCATTTCCTAAAGTTAAGCAATTTCTTTTAAAAACATAAAATGTGAAACAGCATGAGAGAGGAAATTTCTCATACTGGTGAGTTCTTGCCAGTAGAGAAAATAGGCATTCGCCTTGGATAATGGCCATTACAAGATGCAAATGAACGCTTTGTGGGCAAAACTTCTCAGTAAGAAGCATTGCAGAGAGCAGTAACCTGCTGACACTGGGCCTGACCACCTTAGCTGTTGGTTTTCAGGGAAGGACAGAATATCACCAAAAAAACTTCTCTGATTATGCAGTGAATCTGCTCATGGGGAAAGTGTTGGCCAAATGCATGAGTCGGAGCTTCTGGAAGGCTGCACCCACTAGTAACAAGCAGATGGAAAAATGTAATAGTTTTCTTTTTACCCTAAATGATTTTTAATCTTACTGTTGCAGAGCCAGATTACATTAATGGATATGCCAGTATTTAAAGCTATACAGCCAGAGGTATGTTTTCTTAATCTAACTGTTAATGTATGTGGTGTGTTGGGGTATAATGGACTGATCAGATAGATAATTTGTTGCCTTCAAATGTGAATGAAGACATTAATCTTGTGAATGTACATAAACACTTGAACAATAGTTCTTGGGCCTGCACATTCTTGATGCCTCTTAACATAACCAGAATAGACCAGGGAGGTAGATGATACTTACGTTCAAAGTCTTTCACTTCAGTTTCTTAAGCTCATGCTTAAAGACACCCACGTGCATGAGCAGAGCTTAGCTTCTTTTCATGATGCATTCCAAATCTCGTTCTGGAAGATCAGACAAGCGTGCTAACTTTCCTGCACTGCCAACACCTTCAACAGAAAAGCTGACAGCTGTCTGGGGAAACCTGGTAGACCCTGCCCTTGAGGACCCTTGAAAAAACAAGGTTTTGTTACAAGGGTCTTGTAGTAAATTAGAGTTCAGTTTCTCTGAAAACTCTAGACATGGTGCTGGTAAGAAATGTCTGCTGAAGTGCAAGCCACTCGTGCTGAATTCATGTGACATTTGTTTGACATTCACTCTCAGTCTGGTGGATCTCTCTGCAGACAGGAGAGGGTCTGTTCTGGTTCTGTTGATACAACTTTTTTTCTCTTGTTTCTGCTATTTAGTTGTCAGCAGTGTGCTGTGCTGATAGGACCTAGAAAAATGATGTTAAGTCAGGCACTCATTCTACTCTGTGCACACAGAGGCATAGCTAGCAAGTATGGTATTCATAGTAAAACCCCGCTGGAAGATTGTGTTGGGGGGGGGGGGGTTAGGATTAATCTCACCTGCCCCAGGAAGTCCCCCATTGCCACTGGCATGGAGCCACTGCCATTGCTGTTATATTTGAGGTGCAGAGCTGGTGCAGCACCATGAAATAGAAGTATTTTTACAGAAGTTAGGCTTGGGAGAAAGATATTGGAACATATCTCTGTAGGAAATCTCCCTTCTTTTGACTTTTTGGGAGTTTGATTGGCAAGACGGACAAACCCAGTTGACATGTAGGCAACAAGGAGCCAGTCCAACGGCTTGGAGAGCTGCATGCAGCTGGTAAGTCTGTTGTGGTGGCAGGGGAGGGAAGGGACATGGGGGGGGGCAGATCAATGACCCCCCCCCCCCACAGTGAGGGAGGGAGTGGGGCTGCGGCAAGCACTGCCTGGGCAGGGCAGACACGGGACAGAGCTGTGGCTCATCTGAGGTGCGCCGGGGGTGGGGGTGGCAGCTCCTGCTGCTCTCTGCAACCTGGGAGGGCGGGGGTGGGGCATGTGCCCCCAGATCTGCACTAGTGGGATGGGTTGCAATTGCAGGCTGGGACTAGGACTGCGCCAGGCTCTTCCTGGCATGGGGTGGGGGGCAGGGTTTGGGCCAGGGTTGCACTTGGAGTGGGCAGCAGTGGCTCTGGGAGGGAGCTACGGGGTGGCTATGGTAACCCTCCTCCCAGCACCGCTGCTGCTGCCACCCACCCTGAACACAGCCCAATGCAGCTCCGGTCCAGCCCACCCCACCCCACCCCATGTAGATTCAGGGGTGC